GATTGAGAGCGAAGTGCTCTGTTAGGAACATAATCAACAATCAGATCTCTGATATCAGATGGAGCTTGGCCATTTAAGGCTTTATATGTGAGAAATAGGACATATATGATCTTTTTTTAATTTTTATCAGAACTCTGGCTGCAGCATTTTGGATCAGCTGAAGGCTTTTAATTACAGTTTGTGTACTTCCTGATAGTAAAGAATTGTCCAGTCGGAGTAGAGGAGATCCAGACACCCGGCCTTCATCTCCATTAACATTCCTTTCAGATGCTCCCACTGAGGTGGAAAATCCAGTTTTTATTGCTTTAGCTCTTTTCTTTCTCCGATTCCCACTTAATAACACCTGTTTGAACTGGTATACTGCTCCAGTCATCTCCAGTTATAAGCCTTAGCTGCACTTTCCTCAGGGGTCCCCCAGGGGTCCAATCTTGGTCCTCTCCTGTTCACCCTCTATTTGTTGCTAATTGGGGCTATTTTAAGGAAACAATGTGTAATTTCATTGGCCTCCTAATGACTGCCAAATCTACTTTCCTCACAATAGTTCTGTTCAACATTTACCAGAATAAGTCGTTTCCACACCTTTCTTGCAGGTTCACCAGAAATATTTCCGTCCCCCAAACTTTTTAAACTTTGACCACAGAAAAGTCATGTAGCTCCTTGATTTAGCTACATATCTCTTCACCTGTTTGTTCCTCGTTTATCTTGCATATCTCTTGCACAAAAACGTATGTATGGAGGGCGAAAGGGGACAAAATAAAAAATAGCATATTTGATAAAAAGGTGTTTGATGCATAATGAAATAAATAAATGTACCAAAAGATGATGAAATATAAAAAGAAATAACATGTACAATTAAATAGTTAAATGTACTATTAATTTATTTGAAACATCATTAAACAATTAAAAATGTCAATTAGATTATTTCAGACTCCTCCATAGAGGGCTGGTGAAGCTTTAGCATTTTATTAATGTTTTACACTTGATTTACAGCTCTGTCTGGTTACAACATATTTCTGTAAGTCATAATATTATGATACGTATGTGATGCAAAGCGTTTCCAAATCTAGACTGGATTTGGAGCCTAGAGAGGAAGCGTGGGTGGAAAATAGAACCAGGGGTGGGGCTGATAACAAGCTACGCTCACAGCTCTGTTAATGTATTAAAAAAAAGACTTGACATCCTATCAAAAAGACTAAAGTATCATGTTTATTGAAGACCTGATGAGAGAAGATGGACACACACATATTTATATATATAAATGTGTGTATAAACACATATCTTTGGTCTTTATACAAACACAAGGTGACATCAGAGCGGTTTTCCCCATCTTGTCGTTTTCTCTTTTGCTTTCTAACCAAGCATTTTGCAGAATCCTAAATAAGAAAGGAGGGATGATTTCGACATCAGCAGTCTTTCCTGTTCGCTGACCGATTGTTTCAGGGTCCAGGAATGTGGAAATAACTTCACCCGAAGCTGACATGTGAGGAGGAGGAGGGGAGGTCTGGGAAAATGAGTCTGAGGAGAGCTAATATGTCAGGAGCAGGGAGGCCTCGGGGAGGGGACCCTGCAGCCTGTCTCAGAAACGGCACTGAAGCCAAGACGGTTTCACACAAAAACCCCACTCAGGGTTTTCTGGTGTAATGTGGAGAGAGTTAAACTGACAATCCTCTTCCCTCACAGAGGTCATGGCCTCTTTTCTTTATAAACTTAGTGTTGAATATCTATAATTTTCTTCTCCTACTCATTCATTTCTGTGCCCTTCTAATCCCCCTCAGAGCTGTGGTGGGAGGGAGCCTAACTCAGAAGAAAACTAACTCCACCCTGAGGAGCTCACAGACCCATCACTGGGCCAACACAATGACACAAAACACAAATAACTATGTGAGTTCACTCTCTAATCTAAGGAAAATATCCAGTCTCTGAGTAGGAACGAATGTTTCTGGACCGGAGGAGGGATTTAAAGACTGTTTATGAATAGTTTGATTTCACACTCTAATGTCAGATTAAGAAAACCTGAAGGATTACAAATGATTTAACTCTGGAACACCAGCAGAACCAGTCTGGTCCAACGTGACGCAGTCCATTCCCCTAACCCTAATAACTGCTTACTGCACTTTTGGCAGCAACGACTGGCATAAAGTCATTATGATAACCAGCAATCAGTTCATTACATCACTGTGGAACGTTTCTGGCCCTTCTATCGTCTAAAGTCACTGTAATTTATCAACCTAGGAAGCTTTTTTCAAACATCATCACCTTGTTTAAGGTCTAAATTAGGGGTGTTCAACATTTTCTAGGCTAAGGACCCCCAAACCTATGGCAAGATGGAGCAGGGACCCCCTAATATATATATTGTATGAAATAGTGTTCTATCAAACTGGTCCTATAGTCACTACAGATGCAGTAATGTAACAAAAGTAATTTCTCCCTGGGATTATTAAAGTATTTCTGATTCTGATTCCTGGTTGATGGGACAGGTGTTGTGAATGAAACGGTGCCCAGGTTGAAAGAACTAATGCAAACATATTAGTTTTAGGTCTAAATAATGATCTGTTGATATTCCTTGCTGAGCGGACTTTTCCTTTAACAGAGGTATTGAAGTGCCGTATGTGAGAAATCTTGGGCCAAAGGGATGGCAGGCATGGGGCCCCCTGAAATGAGAATGAAACACATTAAACAGGTCAGTTGTAGACATCTTCAAGGATTATTTGTCTGACTGTTTATCCTGCTCTCTCTGTCCCTTTTTCATGTTTTCTGTCTCCCTTTTTTTTTTTCTGGCACTTTGCATTGTCTTCCTCTCCTTTGTTTTCTTCCTGTCTTTTTTTTTACTTTTCCTCTTTGTTCTCCCTTCCACACATCTTCACTTTTTCTTGTTTTCTTCCTCCCTGCTTTTTTATGTTCCCTTTTATCTTCTCCATTTTTCCCTGAAATTGTATTTTGCGAGTCTTTCTCTCAGCAAGGAGAAAATCCACATTGACTGACCTAAGACTTTCCTTAGATAGAAAACTTTTAATTAATCTGACTGTATGATCTGGTGTGAACTGTAAAGTGCCTTGTGATGAATGTGTTGGGAATTGGTGCTATAGAAATAAACGGAATTGAATTGATTCCAAAGAACCCCCAATGTCCAATGTCCTTCTGGATACCCCCAACCCCCCCAAAAAAAACTCCTAGATGATTGATTTCTTGCCATCTGCAGGAAAAACAAATGCAATTTTGAGCTTACTTCATGATTTTCTGTCTTCAATAGGATAAAGAAATAATTATAAATACTGGGTAAGAATGTCCTGCAGTAAAGAAACTAGTCACTCGTAGGAACTTTGGCAGCAGTTTCCCCCTTTCCCTCTTTTCTTCAGCTCCTCTGGAGTATCTTCCTCTCCTCCTCTTCTTCTTCTTTGCTCTCCTCTGTTGTTTGTTTCTTTGCTCCGTTTGTTTTCATTCATTTTGCTGCTGCCTTCCTGGATCCTTCCTGCGATGCTCAGTAGGATGGATCAATCCAACGCAGTGCCAGAGACGCACATAACACAGGAAGCATTACCAGGACATTTCAATGAAGGAGTGCTATCAAAGTCATAACCAATGTATGGGGCCCTCAGGACCTTGGGGCCCTTGTGGAAACAAGGACAGAAATGGTTATTCAGGGCGTGTTTTGGTGGCGCAGAGGTTAGTGCTTACAACCCATGAATGGAGTCCTTAGTCCTCGACGACAGAATTCTGACTTTAATCTCAGAATCCTAAGCTTAATTCCGAATTCTGACATTAAAGTCCAGATTCTGAGGTTATTTTCAGAATTCTGAGAAAAAAAGTCTGAATTCTGACTTTTTTACCACATTAAACTGAAATAAAAATTAAATATCAGTTAACTTTTTATTTTTTTAGTGGCCCTAATTCTCCTCTGTAGTCCAGGGCTTGTTATCTGCAGTTTTAGCTGTGTCTGTTCTAACACACTCATACATGGAGGATGAGCAGGTAAATTCTGTAGAACGCTCATGGAGTTACCTGAAGCAGTGTCTCCCTCTCTCACCCCCCATTCCTGTCAGCCTAATGTCCATAAAACAAGCCACTAGAGCTGTACAAACTAAACAAAGAAATCGATTATTAAAATAATCAACTGATTTGGTCATCGAAATAATTTGATTTCCTCGAGTACACAGACTCTAAAACAGGCTAATTGCTGAAAAACAACCTGCAATTAGCCGTCATTAAAACATTTTAAATTTGTGTTATTTTTTTGGCTGCTAAAAAAGTAAATATTTTCCATTTAGGATTGAAAATCTTCATTTTAAAGATATCAATACATGTATATGTACGTGTATTTAAATGTGCAATAAATTTGTTTCCTTCATTTCAAATATTTATAAATGTTGATTTGGTGAATGTGTTTCTATTTTATGAGTTAATAAAAAAATTATCAACAGATTAATTGATTCTTAAAAGAATTGTAGGAAAAAGTGGGAAACCCGCCATTAAGGCGAACCTGGGCGCAGAGGACCCTCCCTAACCTAACGACAGTCGCTAAGTTAGCAGCCGTCCTGCTTTTGTTTAATGAAGGATCCATCTTCTGCAGTAATGATGACACTGAGCTGCACAGCTGAACTCTTAGCTTCTATGAACAGAGGAGTAAGGCAGCTCCTTTTAACCAACATTTACTGGACAGATTGTTGTGAAAAGACGATATTATAGGTTCAATAAACTGAAACATTTCTAATGAAGCAGTTAAAATGTAACACAGCACTGTGTTTGTCCTCTTCACTGCTGCGTGAGCAGGAACGGTTTTCATTAGGAAGGAAGGGAGGAATTTGGAGCATCTGGGTCCAATACAGTCAGCTATTAATCACACAAACAGACAGCGAGAAACTCTGGGTGGAGATAAAGCAGCAGAACACGGAGGGAGGGGGGCAAACAGATTGACTCGTTGGTTCTGACACCAAAATTCAATGACCCAGCGGAAGTTTACTCTTCCCAGAACAGACCCGGTCTGGACCCAGGTCTGGTCTGACCCTGAGCCGGAGGCTGATAGGAGGATCGTCCCAGAGAGGCCAGAAGCTCGTCTTCACATACTGAAAGTATCATCCTGCGGTTTCTCTGAGTGATAAGAGTTGCACAACGTGGTGAGAAGTTCAGAAGCTGTTTCAGTTTTTGCATTACGGCCTTGGAGTTTAGAAAGTGTTGCATACGATGATTTTCTGCTGTAACTGACTTCAGGAGCTCCCTGAGGAACAGAAATATGTTTGATAGAAGGACGTTTGACACCATCATAACAAGATAAAAGTCAGCCTTCCATGGGTTTCAAGCTGCCTTCTGCAGAGATCCTGGTTTCCATCAAATATCAGTCAAAATATCCACTGATTCTGAACCAAACATGCAGATGAAAACAGAAGTTCCTCCATGTTTTGGCGCTTAGAATGAACACAAACAAGAGCAGAAGTTCAGAGTCCTGATCTAAAGGTTTGCAGGGTGTGTAGCTTCAAAGGCATTCCTGACACAGGATGCATCTCTGAAGCCTCAGAGAAAAAAAAAACGGTTTATTTATCAGATCAGGCCAGAAGATGTAGCATTAAAACCAGCTGGAAGCTGCAGGTGCAAGAATGTGCATAAGTCCTTGGCCAGACTTTATGTATGATGGGACTAGTTATACCTATTCTGCATCATTTCTTTATGCTTTCAGGCAATGTTTTTTTTAATTTTTATTTCCCGTTTTCTTCTATGCCTTTTGTTTCCCTTTGGCTGGTAAAAAGCCTCCAGCAGAAGGCGGCGGACACGCATCCTGGTTCGTGCTAAAAGGGAAGCAAGGTCATTGAGAACTCATGTATATCAATTGAATTCAGTTTTTTTCTATTGCTCCAATTCACAACACATGTCATTTCAAGGCACTTTACTGTTCACCAGATCATCCAGTCAAGTTGATTCCATGTTTTCTATAAAACGAAAACCAGTTGATTGCATCGACTCATTGACTTGAATGCAATCTCTCACATTAAGCATGCTTGAAGCAACAGTGGAGAGGAAAAACTCCCTTTAAACAGGAAGAAACCTCAAGCAGAACCAGGCTCAGTGTGAGCGGCCATCTGCTGAGGCTGACTGGGGTTCAAGGAGACAGAAGCAGACATAGATAAGGCAACTGCATTCTTCTTCGTCTCTACTTTAGGGGATATGTGTAGAGCGCCCCCTACATGTTTGGTGGGAGACAGTTCAAAAACGTGGCCCCATCCAGGAAACACACAGCCAGGCAAACAAGCTCTGAGCCAGCTCCCATGTCGGAGGATGAAGAGAGCACATCCAGCCAGTCACAGTCAGAGAAACAGGACCACACTGGAAAACAGGCCGATCTCCAACATCTATAAACAAGGGTGTTGATAGAAGCAGCACAGCTGATGTTTCTTTCCAGGATGACGTCACAGCCAAACAGGAACAGACGAGGCAAAGCTACTCTGAGGAAAAGCAGAGAGAGCAGAAGGTTAGAGACTGAACTAACAGATTCTGCAGAATAGGAGAACAGAGAGAGAATGAAGCAGAATGATGAAATGGGGGTCCCTATGTCCTCCAAAAGTCTAAGCCTATAGCAGCGTAACTATAGAGATAGCTCAGGATAACCTGAGCCACTCTAACTATAAGCTTTATCAAAAAGGAAAGTTTTAAGCCTAGCCTTAAAAGTAGACAGGGTGTCTGTCTCACGGACCAAAACTGGTAGTTGGTTCCACAGGAGAGGAGCCTGATAACTAAAAGATCTGCCTCCCATTCCATATTTTATGCATTTTACATTTTGTATTTTATTTTTCCGGTTTTATTTAATCAAAAAATATATATATTTTACAGATTCAATATTTACTTTTTTTTTTTTGCATTTTGTGTTTGGAGTTTATTTAACTCAGATTGAGTTTTATGAATTTCATTTTTTGCTATTTGTGTTTTCCTGATGACCTTCTTTTAACTTCTGGGGGCGGGTTTTCCTCTGGAAGGAGGAGCAAAGACATGTTTCTATTGGTCTGCATGGATGCTATTCTATTGATGAATGTGTGCTTTTGTCTTATTTCATTTTCAAATCTCTGTTATGTATGTAATTAACATAATACCTGTATATCCTGACAGAGGAACTGTCCTAATTAGATAAACTGCTTGGGAAAACATTAGTTTTGACACATAACAGGCAGCTATCACAAGGATTTAACAGACTTTCATTATCAATAAAAATAGTCCTCAACATTCAAAGCCAGATAAAGCCAACAGATGAAGTTAGCTAAACCCTTTATAGGGCACTCAGTGAAATACTTTAAAAATCCAACCTTCAAGCCAACAGTACTATTGGAATCCAGGACAAGATCTTATTACCTTTGTAACATAAAAAAATATGGATATTTTGATGGCAAACATTTATGTCAATGCAATTACAAGAAACGCCAACTTGCCCGAATATTTTAAGAAAAATAACAAAAGTGATTCTTTAAAAAATTCATTAAAAACACCCTGAGAGTGAAAAACACACTTTTTTGGTCCAACATAACCTTAGAGGCATTGATGCTGATACTGGTCGTGACATTTTTTTAGTTTATAAACGTAAATATAATTGTTAACTAGGCTTATTAACTTTTTGACTTTACTTTTTCACTTTTCAATTAGCTTTTTTCTTGACTTGTAACTTTTTTTCCCCAATTTAATTAAGTAGGTAATATATTATTCAATCTTTGCTAAATGGCTGGATATAGATCTAGTGCTTCTAGACGTCACTGAGGGACAGGGGGAGACTCCATTTGTAAGGGGTATGCAAGTGATCAAACACAGTAACTTGCCCTATAAGGGGCTAACCAAGCTAACTTACTAAACCCTGAGAATTGTTGACGAGGAGTGATTCCAGAAATAGTACCAACTGAAAATGGCGCTGATTCACCCTTTCTGGTAATGTATGAATCAGTGAATGATTCTTTATGGGCTGTGATGGTTCACTCACTCAATGTATGAATCAGTGAGTGATTCGCTCACACTGACAGTTAGGAGGGATTCATTGCGTTAAATCCCTTGCTCGCCCAAAGTAGCTATCAGAAGCTGATTGGCTCACATTGTCCGGTTGCGCTGTGATCTGAAGAAGAGTGGGGAGTGGCGGCCTAGAAGTTAGGGCATAGAGCTTGGAATCCTGAGGTTCAGAGTTTGAGTCCCACTCCCACAGACTGCCACTCTGGGTCTCTGAGCAAAGACCCTTAACTCCACACTGCCCCACGATGGCAGCCCACTGCTCCCCAAGAGGATGGGTTCAATTCAGTTTATTTCTATAGCACCAATTCACAACACATGTCATCTCAAGGCACTTTATAGTTCATCCAGATCATACAGTCAGATTGATTAAACTTTTTATCTGCTGGAGGTTTATTCCTGTTAAAAGGGAGTTTTTCCTCTCCACTGTCGCTACAAGCATGCCTAGTGTGATGGATTCCCTTTGAGGCAATGAGTCAATGCAATAAACTGGTTCCCTAAGATAGAAAACTTTGAATCAATTTGACTGGATGATCTGGTTAAATTGTAACATGTTTTGAGGTGACGTGTTGTGAATTGGCGCCATGTAAATAATATGATAATAAAATGACTTTGTAAACAAATCATTCTAATGTTCTGGTTCTAGTGATTCAATTCAGTCAAAGTAATAGTTTTTTTTCATCACTATCTCATGTTTCTTTCTTTTTTAAGTTATACTTATTCAACCTGGTTATAAGCAGTAGCATGAAATGCATATACGGTAGTTTTAGTTTCCTTCCTGTTCTGAAACAAAAAGCTGCAGCATTAATGAAGCCTGGCTGTATATCAGGGTAATGGTGTCACTTAGCTAAGAAAACATCAGGAGTTTCCTGGACTTCTGGAGAATTTGGGGAGAGCGGTTTTCCTGCTAAAGTACAGGAGATTTCCATCTGGGAAGGTCCATTAATGGTCAGAACTGTAACAATCCAAAGGTTGGAAAACTGGAAAAAAAATCCCTGTTGGTTGGGTTTATTTTCTCCACTGCTCAGCAAAAATAAACATGCCTTACATGTTTACTCTCAGCTCTAGAGGAGCAGATTAATGGAGCTATGATATGCTCAGGGGACAGAAAAACTCTGGGATTCAGACATGACGTCTGCTGTATGATAAAATGTTTGTATGTTGCACCTCCTAGTGGAAATGCTTGGTACTGTTTCTCTGACTGAAGGGTTCACATTTTAACTTAACCTTTGAACAATAGTACCAGTTCAGTCCTACAGTACAGAAGAGGATTAGGGCCACTGAAAAAATAAATAAAAGTTTTATTTTATTTATTTTTATTTATTTTTTAAAACATGTCTCTTAAAAATGATTTCAATTTGATATGGGAAAAAGTCAGAATTCTGACTTTAATCTCAGAATTCAGACATCTAACAAACATGTTAGCATCAAGCCGTATCCATGTCTGTATTAGAGACTAAACTAGCTCCCTTGTTTTAATCACCTTCTGCTCTTCCATTAATAAAATAGCATCACCAGGGACCCCTCGGACACGTAAAAGTCGGCTAATGTCTTCATTTTCCACCATTGTGCTACTGGCCCTCCCATACAACTCACATGAAGCTGAGTGCTCCCACATCTCTTCCTTCATGGTGCATTAAGATCCACAATTCTGAGATCAAAGTCTGAATTCTGAGATTAAAGTCTGAATTCTGAGATTAAAGTTAGAATTCTGACTTTTTCCCATATAAAACTGAAACAAAATTTAAAAATCAGTTCATTTTTTATTTTTTCAGTGGCCCTAATCCTCTTTCGTGCTCCAGGGCTTGTTATCTACTGTTTTAGATGTGTCTCTGATCCAAAACACTCATATGAAGTGGATGTGCAGGTGAGTTCTGCAGAACGCTCATGGAGTTACCTGAAGCAGAGAACGAGCCTCTCAGCTGCAAATTAAAATCTGGGCTTAGGTGACTCATTCATTTTAGCGTCAAAATTGTCTCCTTTGAATTATTGACTTTATCAAAACACACAGAGGTGCGCAGAGTACCCAAAATCCACATTTTTTTTTACTCAATTAAATGCAAAAAGTGTTCATATAAGAAATTACTTTAGTTAAATTAGTATTAGGTAAAGAGGCTACTTCAGTAATTAATATTTGTTGGTTCCTAATGTTTAAAAATAAAGCAGGCAGACTTTTATGGGAATATTCTGGTACTTTAAAGTCGACTCAAATTTATAAAGAATACAGATAAATGTAATGAATATGAAAAAAAACAACTTCATGCATAACAAATACTTTTTTTCCACATAAAACCAATCCTTACAGTGAGAACTGTCTCCAGTAGTAGCCATTCTAAATTTCCCCACTTTCCTCGATGGGCCTTTTTCTGTCCTCTGTGAGTCAGAGTCGTCATAGATTATACTTAAGTAGAAGTAGCAAACCTTTACAGGGATATTACTGAAGTAAAGCTAAGAAGTAGAGCACAGCAAAGTACTCCTAAAAGTACTGTTTTTTTTTTTCTGCTGCTCTTCTCCCTATGGTGGCGCCTGTTTCCGGATACTCCTCTTTGCCTGCCCCCTTCTACAGTGGGGTGTCTGGGGTTCTCCTACTGGGACTGTAGACACACTCAGACCCAGAAGGATAGTGTAGGTACAAGAGAAGCCATTCTGGCCACACCCAGTTGTCCAACCCTGAAGGCCACACCCACCAGTCCCTCTGGCGGCTGCAGCCATCCCTAAGTCTGCCCTCTTTGTGTCCCAGTGATCTGGGGTTCCTCTTGATATCTGGGGCTCGAGCTGCCTCTCTATCAGTCCTGTAGGGTGAGTCTGGGGCCACCCACACCTGCTATTGAGCATATTTTCCTTCTGAAGAAGTTTTTTGAATCCTTTATACCCGTTCATGCTCATACATAGAGCAGAGGAGTTGGTTCGAGGTGTTCAGGGACACACTAATACTCAATACTAAGCTGCAGCTGCAGATATATTCCACCCTGAATAATAATGTGTAACCACTATAGGTTTTGACTTCGATAAACATGGAAATCTAAGGGATTCCCATTGCCCTTGACACAGTGGTTATCCCTTAGACCCACTGCTCTCCTTAGTTCTTATCCCCTCTTTCGTTGTCATCTCCCTTTCCATCACTGTTGTATAGGACTTTATTCTCTAAATTATTTTCTATAAAGTTTAATATACAAGTAAAGGTCTGCTTTTGAAAGCAAAGCCGTTGGGCTGTTAGCTAGCTCTGGGATATCTACTCCCAGAGCTATATTTGCAAAACATAACAAAACAAACAAACAAAATAATAATAATAATAATGCAAGATTAAACTCACAATATTACCAGAACAAACTTGCAACAGAAAAAGCTGCAGTCTGGTTAATCTTGGTTGAATGTTTTTTTTTCTTTTTTTAATGAAAATAACTTTTTTGTCTCATATTACTATTCTAATTTTATTACAACTACATTTTCATGATAATGTGACCTTCTTCCCGTTATTAAAATAAATCTTAATCTGGCCTTATACTGGGATTATATATTCCGCCGTAGATCTCTGGGAAACATGGTGGATGAAAATATACAATGAAATACAAAAAAAAAAGAAACAAATAAACGTCCCGCAAATTAAGTAGACCTAATATTTACTTATCAAAGATATAATTCAACTATCAATTGTTGTAACAGTGGTGTAGAATGCAGGAGGGTTGCCGGTTCAAACCCCAGTGGTTCGACCTGTTGTTTTGTCCTTAACCCTCGTTGCCTACTGAAGGTAGTCAGTGTGCCCCAGAGCAGCGGTGGCTGCTCTTAACTGACCACCATCAGTGTGGGAATGAAGCAATGCAGAGTAGAACCTTCCAGGATTCCCTGACATGAACAGGTATTTTATAAGTACATTAAAATAGACAATTAAATATTTAATGAGTTTATAATAAATAGATTTGAACATGTTATAGATTAATTTTATTGTGTATCTTGAGACCATGAGACTGTGGAAACGAGAGCCTTTTTTCCTAGAGTTCCTTAAGTGTATTTTTCCTCAATTTGAGCAGGTAAGACAATGTGCCAATGGAATAAGACAATTTATGTTTAAAATAAGTAAAAAGAAAAAACCTTTGAAAGTGCCTAATATTAAATTATCTTATTTGAGGCACTAAAATATTCAGTCCATTGGAGGATCTGAATTCAATTTTAGATCAGCTTTGAAATGTGGAAATAAAGACCAGACCAATCCTTTATTTGGAAAATACATTTAATCCCTTTAAATTTGGGTGAAACCAAGTCTAGGAGGGTGAAAGAGGTGGAGGCTGGTGGCAGTGTGTAAGAAGATACTTCGCCAAATAGAAATTGAAATAAGCTGGATGAACACTGAATATCCTCATCAAGACTGATAGACAATTTTTTTCACTTTAGTGTCTTAAAACAATCTGGGAGAGAAAGTCTGACCCTGCCACTGAATCCCCCTCCCTCCCCCTCACCAGACTTGTTTAACGTACCACACAAAGATATTCCAATACAAAGAGAAAAAGGCATACATTGCTCTCTACAACCTTCTCTATAAGGATACATTAGAGCTGTATCACAGATTCCCACCGGTTCTGATAAACAAGGCAAGGCGTATATAGGCTGACCACAGCTAGAGACTACATGGAGGTTAGAGAGGTGAGAGCGAACGGATGCGTCTCTCCAACGCGTCCGATATACTCGGCTAGAACGGGTTAGTCCAGGGATGGCGGACAGCAGAACAATGTCAGGTAAGACAAATCCTGCAGAAATTTCCCCGCATGTGAAGCTTTTAGAAACAGAGAAATATTAGTCAGAAAGTCATACTAATAACTACCATGTTAGTTGTGATGATCAGTATGAAAGGAGTGTTTTAAACACACTACGGCAGCTTGTAAGGACAGAAAAGGTCCATCGTTTTAGGCGATTAAGTGCAAAAAGAAACTTTTCTTTTTTTTTTTTTTATAGATGAGCAAATAGTTGGAAACAGCAGTGTTCCCAGCAGCTTTTTTAGATTAACTGGATTCATGCAGGAGTAGCCTGTTAACATGGATCAACGTGTCTAAATCTGTTATACTGTGTGCATAAGGCCTGTAGTGTCAGGAAGAAACACCGATTCAGCCTGAAGCAAGACAATCGAGCAGAGGTTAGTAAAGAGAAACTACTGCACAGAGGCCTCGTGTAATACAATATCCATGCTCAGGCAGACATAAAGCACGGTTAACATATTTTTATATACAGTTTATACAGAGAACAGTCAAATCAACCCATCTAACAGAATGTATGAGCAAGTTCAGAGGCAGGATAGAAGTAAAAACCGAGACAAACACATTTCTTTAAAGATCTACAGCACCTCGACCGGTGATTGTAACCACGGAGTAATAAAAAAAAATAAAACTACAAATCCTCCAAGGTTAGGGCTGACCGTGTACAGAAGACAGCATGTGTGAATAAAAAAATAAACGTAAAAACAGTGTAATGATGTTTGTTTTTAAGGGCAGCGTTTTAAAGAGCTCACTAATCCAGCAAGCATTATAGGTGATACATTTTATGTAATAAGAAAAAGATGAAAGCGGCTGGGACCCCTGTGGTCATGGCTCCGCCCCCTCAGTCGCTCTAATACACGGGGCTGTTGCGGATCCCGCAGCACAACACCATGCTGAAGATCATCTCAAAGATCTGCAGGGTGAGAAAAACAGGAGAATGTTAAGAGACAAGCAGGGAAGCGTGGGTCCCACTGATCTCTATTTATTCACTGGATTGCTGATTGCCTGAAAAAAGTGAAGCCACCGTCCTCCATGTTGGTACTCCCCACCCCCACAGAGACACGCAGTAAAAATGCCTGCATGTGTCACATTTGGCTGCAAAAACAAGCAGTTTTCTGGCTGCGAAGAAGCTTTAAAAATATTGGAAGCTGCGTTTTCTACCTCTACATGCAGTTTGGTGTTGGAAGCTCCTTTGTTTGTGTCCAACACTGCCCCCTAGAGTGTTGGACACAAACACTATGGTCAAAATGATCATTCCTACCCGGATACTTCAGGGGAAAAGCAGCATGGACAAGAAAATGCAGAGAAATGCAAACATTTTTTACAGTTGCCTTTTGTATCTCTGCTTCTTTTTCTATGTCTGCTTCTGTCTCCTTGAACCCCAGTCGGTCTCAGCAGATGGCCGCTCAGACTTAGCCTGGTTCTGCTGGAGGTTTCTTCCTGTTAAAAGGGAGTTTTTCCTCTCCACTGTTGCTACAAGCATGCTTAGTGTGAGGGATTGCATTCAAGTCAATGAGTCGATGCAATCAACTGGTTTTCCTTAGATAGAAAACTTCAAATCAGTTTGACTGGATGTTGTGGTGAATTCTAAAGTGCCTTGAGATGACATGAGTTGTGAATTGGTGCTATAGAAATAACTGACACAGCTTGGGCTTGATGCAGCTTGGTCTGTGTTCTACTCACCCAATTTTCATGTCTATATTCAGAAACTAGAGGGTGTTGGCTTTCAAATAACGTATCACACGTAATTTTGGCTTAAAATTTGGTTATTTTCTTTTCCATTTGGGTATGCAAAACAGGTGAGAATTTTCCCAAAATGAGTTGGATATTAAGGTTAAAGCAATGTCCTTTCAGTTCCTTCCTGCTAAATTTAGTTTAAGATAACTTCCAACACTGAGTCCACAGAGGATTGATTCTCCCCTAAAGCTGGGCACTATACACTGTACGATGTTTGCAATCGTTGCAGGCAGCTACAGCTCAAACTGTATGACGAAACCGCAGACTTTAAAACTTCACAGCTCACAAAAAAAATAATAATAATCGTACAGTGTAAGCACGGCTTAATACATTATATTTATTCATTGCACACAGACTGATGCATTCAAATGTTTATTTAATTTAATTTTGATGATTTGAAGTGGCAACAAATTAAAATCCAAAATTCCGTGTGTCACAAAATTAGAATATTGTGTAAGGGTTTTACAGCCATGTAGCAGTACCTTTGCTGAATGGCTGGATATAGATCTTGTTCTTCTAGACCTCAGTAAGGGAAAGGGGGGGGACTCCATTTGTAAGGGTTATGCTTGGGATCAAAAATGGGAACTTGCCCTATAAAGGGTTAAGTTTCACAGGGAACCAAAGATGCCCGGGTAGCTTTGAGCAGGACTTTAAATCATCAAGACATTGAACAGGTTGCATCTAAAAGCAGCAGCAGGTTTCAACTGTTTTGCAAAGGTTTTAAGTGTCACTATTGAAAATATAAAAAATAGTAATAATGTTGTCTGAAGATGATGCCATCTATGTCTCCAGTAGATGAACTCTGTTTTATTTTTTAAGGCTTTCAGTAACTGAAAAATGCAAGTTCTGCTCTACGTCCGTCTTCATGCTCTTACCATAATGACAGCAACCACCAGCGCAACGATTCCCACCAGGTAAATCTTTTCCGAGAAGAGCTCATTAATTTTTTGGTGGCAGCTCTGCAAAAGAAAACAAGTAACAGAAGTTAGAATTAGACTCAGCCTAAATTAGCCTCTTTAAATGTTATTAAAGGCAGTAAAACATGGTTTCTCGTTAAGAGTTACAAGGCAGGGATAGAGAGAAAAGGGCAGAGAGATCCTCCAGTTTTTTTTCACTTGAACTTTTTGGAATGACTATGACCTGGATGACTGAGGCTATGTTCACACTGCAGCCTCTTCTCAAACCATCTATTTTTGACACAGAGGGGCGTGAAGGAAGCCATCTGTGTTAAAAAAGACAAACCAACCTTAAACAGAAGGGGTTGACCCAGATTTTAGCTTTCAAAAACTGACGGTGCTGCAATTGAGTTGATTCCTTCCCGCTTTTATCGCAACCCCAGAGCAGAAGACCTCGCCTATTCAGCCAGGCCAACAACTACGACTACAACTAGAGTTTAATCAGGATCTGTTCTTTCTCCATGGAGTCAAACTGGGATCAGATCCACCATCATTCGTCACAGACATCTTCAGGGCCACCAATGTTCTCTCTTACGCCACTTTAACAGGTTCTTCCTTAATGCTAAGTTCAGACCGCAAGCAGCAGAAGCAGCAAAAGCAGCTGGTTTACATGCAAAGTCAATGGTTGACGCGCATCAAGGCGCAGAAAAAGGTCACTGCGGAGCATCTGAACAGCAGGAGCAGCGCCTCATGAGCTTCTGAGAAACTGACCAAACCTTCAAAAGAAGCAGCAGCTGGAGTTGGAAAAATTTTACTTTAGCTGCTCGATGCGCCACATCAACCAATCAGAGAAGCTGATCTGGGAGCTGGCAGGGAGACAGACACCGCACTGCTGATGCAGAGGGCTATGATCACTCCTCTGAAACTGTTTATTAATGCCTAAATTAACTGAAAATGTAGAAACCTGCTGGCAAAATATGTTCGATTTTATTATCCTGGTGCCTGCAGTTTGTATTACGTATGTGGAAAACAACTTCCAGCCACCGCTAACAGTAGTGGAAAACCGCAAAGAGGCTACTGGGCCAGATGCTACTGTTCAATTCAATTCAGTTTATTTCTATAGCGCCAATTAACAACACAAGTCATCTAAAGGCACTTTACAGTTCATCCAGTCAGATTGATTCAAAGTTTTCTATCTAAAGCCCGGCGTACACTCTGCCATTTTCGGGAGAAAACCAAACATGTTTGATTTTCTCCCGACCGTCGTGGGCAAATCGCTCAGGGCGCAAAAAAGGATTCTTCTTTTTCTTCTTCCTCTCAGATGTAAACACAGCAGCGTGGCAGGGAAGCAATGAGTGAAATGCAGCTCCGTCTGCAAAATTGACAGACTGCAGCAGCCACGCCTGCTCAGCCACGTCCTTTTTCCAAATACGTCTCCCTGTCTTTCTAGGACCCTCAACACAAAATTGCAAAATGCCAAGGCAGCGCGGGTCACTATAGTGAGCTTAATATTCCTCTTCTACTGGTTTGGCTTCAGGATAGAGAGCTACAGAGCAGCTCCATCTCACTGCGGAGCTGAGTCCGACGTGGTTATTAGTCGCTCAGTGTGGGCAGGTAGATCGCATCAGAGCGTCGGGCCAAACATAAATGGTGTACGCCGGGCTTTAGGAAAATCAGTTGATTGCATCGACTCCACTCTTCAGCAATCCCTCACACGACAGTGGAGAGGAAAAACTCCCTTTTAACAGGAAGAAACCTCCAGCAGAACCAGGCTCAGTGTGAGCGGCCATCTGCTGAGGCCGACCGGGGTCCAAGGAGATTTCCAGTGACAGCCCACCGCCGGTGTACAGGGGTCAGAGCGGCTCCGACAATAAAATAATATTTGAAGCCAAGATCGTAATTTGGATTAAAGTTTTCAGGTGGACTTTCTCACTTAAATACAAATTTAAACTACTTCTTACCCACTGATCACAGCAATATAGCTAAGGATAGGGTAGCTCTGCCCAACGTGCATCAGACCTACTTTTTGCCGGGCGTCAGAACTAAACTAGTACAAGCATAAAAAATGAAGCAGCACGTGCGTTTTCGCTGCTTCTGCCGCTTGTGGTCTGAATGTAGCATAACACTGGATTTCTTTCTAGAACTCCTACAGAATTGCTGCTTTTCACCAAGCTAGAAAAAGGAAGTGCTGAATAGGGAAACATCACTTACAACTCCCATCCATTCGGATTTACAGACGTCCTGAAAGCCGACTTTGGATGTTATCACGGAGAAGAACGAGGTGGTCGTGTCCTTACCGCAGCACTGGAGCTGAAACATAAAAGCTTCACACAGTTAAAAGGTTTCCCCATCGCCGGACGTCCAAAGCAGCAACTTGACGGTAGATCCTACCGTCTCATGGAAGACCTTCAGCACTTGTGAAACAGGAGCCTTTTTGTTTTCAGTGTCAAAGGTTTTAGTCGTGGCCTCGTCATAAACGCTGTCATAGAAGTCCCTTATTTCCTTAGAAACCTGGAAAGGAATCAGAAAGGTTGTTCCTGAGACACTTTGCCGTTGAAATAAGAACATTTACATTTAAAATAAGAGAAAACATTTTTTCTTAGTGATTAATAGATTACTAAATTAGCTTTAATAATTGATTAATCACAATTAATCCAAATAATTGTTTCAGCCCTAGTATTAAGTAACCATGGGACATGTCAACAAAAAATGAAGGTCGCGCTTAAAACCGGGTTTGCTTCTTATTGAAGTGGCCCAAGATCACAGTTAAAGAAGCGTTTTATACAACTCCAGTCTGCCATATCATTACTGATATGGAGCCCGTCAGAGAGCAGACGTAGCTGAATGTAGCTCTCTCCTTCTGCAGAAGCCGCTAAAAAAAATCCCTCTTCTGTGTGGACTCGGTTTCTCTTTTATGAACCTACATTTTTTAACCTAACAATTACATCATAGATGTTTATAAACAAGGAGACATTACCCTTCGCTCTTAGATCAAGGACATTCTCATTCCATTGTCAAATCTTTGCCATGTGCAGAATGAAGATGATAGCTGTATATCCTGACAGAGGAACTGTCCTAATCAGAACAAGTACTGAGGAAAACATTGCTTCTGACATGCAGCTGTGATGATCTGCCCTGATAGCTTCACCTTAGTTGTTCATCACCTGCCTGATTCTGCCCGTTTCCTAATTATCGCTCATCTTTTCCACCTTTATACTTTAAATTAAACTAATTTAAATACTGCTGATACATTAAGCAGAATTTCTATCATATTCGAATACTGAGTGGAAATTGTTATTTTTTTCCAAGCCGCACTGCTCATGAAACGATCGGCCAATGAGGTCACAATCACCCGCAGATGTGAGTGACATCATGCGGTCATGCAACACATCATCTTTCACTTAAAGTAGATCTCTACATGACAGCCAGTTGTTATAATTGTTTTTTCTTTCAAGGTAAATGGTCTTTAATTTTAGGAAAGGCAGAATTAACTGTTTTAAACCAGAAATGTTTATTTTCAATTAAAACAGCATTTGAATTTAAATAAATGACCTTTCTGCTCTTTCACTTTAAAGCCAAGGGTGGTTCCTGATATATCAAATGATGAATTATTGCCCTGATCTTTTGTTTCATGACCCTAGCCTGACACAGGCCCCATCCAGGGCCCACAGTGGCCCCACCAGTGGCGGCTGGCCATTAGAGGGCGCTAGAGCGCTGCCCCACCAACCCAATCACCCTGATTAATACATACAAGAAAATATTTACTCTTTATATAATTTAATTTTAAATTACAATTTAAAATATTTAGAAATATATTTATATATATTTTTTAGATTTGCAAGATAAATATTTAATCTTTAATGAGGAGTAAAGCGTCATTCCAATTTTACGTCGAATTGGTGACATATTTCTGCCCAAAGTTTACCCATTGACTCTCGTTAAAAGTTGAACATGGTACATTATTTCTTTGAGTTTGTGATGCAATATTGGACCATGCAAAACCCAGATTTGCCTTCACAAATGAAAAGAAAACCTGTACATGAAATTAAGTTTAGTTCTTATAATGTTTTTTGTTGTTGGCATTCATATAAATATACTGGTGTGATAACTTAGTATTCGTTTGATTGGTTTTCTATATACGTCTACTTTGAATTTATAGCCCCCCCTTGGAGAAAATTCTACCAGCCGCCACTGGGCCCCGCCCTGGTGAATGTGGTTTGAAACCTCCACTGTGTTTTAATGTCATTTACCTTTGTATTTAATGCATGTATATATGTGGGAAGCACAGTGAGCCCTGATGGGGAACCCTGATTAACTCCTAATAAAACACTAATCTGCTGCTCTGTGGGTGTGAAAACTTTTGGTCTTCCACTTACAGCTTCTCTGTTCATGTATCCCCAGATTCCACCGGCAACCTCACAGGCGAACAGGATGACCAGGCAGACGAAGAACTGCAGCAGAGGAAAACGAGAGAAGAGACACTTAGAGGAAATTCACCTTCCACTCCCCTTCACCCACAGACTGAAGCTGAAACTCACCGTTCCCAGCAAACACTGGGACTCCTGGATGGCGCCGTAGCAGCCGAGGAAGCCGACCACCATCATCACGGCGCCGACTGCGATCAGAATGTGGACAGCTGGACAGACAGACAGACAGATGCAAACACTTAGACATGAAGCTCAGTTCAACACAAAAGCAGCTCCACTGCAGTAACAGCTGATACCCTGCAGGGGGAGCAGTGGTGTTTTTCAGTGGGAAAAAGTGAGTCATCCATGTCCATACGGCGGCGCCGTTTGGTTTATGAGGCTCTGAAAAATGCTCTGGATTCCAGTTTTTTCCCCCTCAGAGCCTCGCTGCTGACTTTCCCGTCTTTGTTCTGATCTGGGCTGAATTTATTCGACTCAGAGGATCAGAACGACGAGCAGAATGGAAAGAAGGACCTCTGCTTGCTATTCAGGTGGTGACTCCTTCCTTTAAATGCTGCAGACACTTTTAACCTCATTACACCTAAAAAAATTATTCAGCTTTTCTCTCCACATATCTGCAGTTTTTATCCCAGCTGAGACATTTATAGGCGCTTTGTGTCGCACAGCAGGAGGAGACGTTTAATGAGAAAAGGAAAGATGGAGGATCAGTCTGACTAACGGAACAGAACCTTTGTTGTTTCACAGCAACCTTTTTCTAATCCGTCTGGGGAACAAAGAGGACGTTCTGTTATGTCATAGCATAGAGGTGTCCAAACTTTATCAGGCTAAAGGTCCTCTGGGGGCCATAACTTGGAGCCCATGGGCTGTTCTAGAAGGGGGCTAACAGGGGCCAGTGTCCCTGTATCTTTCCACCAAACAGGGAACATTTGCTAGTGTCCAAAATTAAGTTCTTCCTTTAGGTCTTCTAAAACTAAATTTATAAATATGATCAAACTAGACTTAGATCAAAATCTGTAAATTTAACTTTAACAAAGCTTTTAAGATAAAGATGTTTATTTAAATCGTGCTAAAGAAGCTCATCATTTTATTAAACGATTTCATTATTATTCCTCCCTACTACAATCTTTACTTAAATGGAGTAGTTAATAATACCAGTAATGGAGCCAAAGACTCTTCCTAGAGGACCGGTGTTCTGTCAGATGAGCATATTCATAGTCCATGTCCGTTTATCACTTTAGTTTATCCCATTAGTTTTGTACAAAAAATAAGCTTTAAACTAACTCAACAGGCGTGTATCCCTTTAGTGCGACGGAGTATTAGGGCCAGGCTAGAGATTTTTATTCTTCATTTTTGAGAATAAAGGTGTAAAATTATAAAGTCGTAACTTTACAAGAATGTTGTCATAAAATTACGAGAATACATTTGTATTATTATGAGTATAAAGTAACAAAATTACAAGAATAAAGTCGTATTATTATGAGAATAAAGTCGTAACAGTAAGAGAATAAAGTCGTAAAATTACGAGAATACATTTGTATTATTATGAGTATAAAGTAACAAAATTACAAGAATAAAGTCGTATTATTATGAGAATAAAGTCGTAACAGTAAGAGAATAAAGTCGTAAAATTACGAGAATACATTTGTATTATTATGAGTATAAAGTAACAAAATTACAAGAATAAAGTCGTATTATTATGAGAATAAAGTCGTAACAGTAAGAGAATAAAGTCGTAAAATTACGAGAAACAAGTTGTATTTAATGACAATTCTTA